CCCCCCCCCCCCCCCCTCTAGACTTTGTATTTCACCACTTTGGGACCACCAATTGGTATCGGAGCAAACTTCTCACTATCTACGTTTAGATTAACGAGAAGCGATCATAATGGTGAACAATATGGATCACGGTTTGCCCAAGTTTTCTCTTCTAGGTTATGATGATTGGAAGATCATGATGGAAGCACATCTCTACGCTCTACATGACTGCATGTGGATGGTGCTTGAGGATGGACCCCTGAAAATCCAAATGGAGAATCCTGAGAGGAATCTAGCAACTCCAGACGTAGTCCAGTACATTCCAAAGCCCAAGGAAAAATGGGATGATAGAGATTGCAAAAAGCACAATCTGGACAACGTCGCCAAAGCAGCCATGTTCAAGACACTTGATCCCATCACCTTCTCCAAAATCAAGCATCTCAAGACTGCCATGGAGATATGGCAAGGTCTTAGGAAGCTATGTGAGGGATCAGAGGACTTGAGAAAGCAGAAGATAGAGGTCCTGCTTGAGAAGTTCAAAAGCTTCAAAATGCTTCCCGGAGAATCATTTGATATGTTGGATGAAAGATTCCACAAAATCTTAAATGATCTTGCATCACTTAACCACGTTCTCTCTCCCAAAGAAAAGAATGTAAGGTTGCTGAGATCACTTCCAACCGAGTGGTATACCAAAGCCACAGCCATGGAAGAAGGAAGAAACCTGAAAAACTACATTGTCCAAGGTCTCCTTGATGAGCTCAGAACCTATGAGCACGAGCTGAAGAAAAAGAAGGAAGAACAAGTCACTCCCTTTCCCACGTCACTGATGACAACTCCAAAAGTCCCATCACGTGAAGGAACATGCCCAAGGAACTGTGACACACCCTCCTCCAGCCAGCCGTCAAGCTCAAAAATGGAGAATTACGATGAGGAACTTGCCATGATGGTTAAGCAATTCCGAAAGTTCAAGAAGTTCTTCAAGAAAGCTGACTCAGTCAGAAGGCCATCCAAGGGAAAGCCACAGGTAAGTGACTCCCCTCCTGAATCTTATTTATGCTATAACTGCAGGAAGCCTGGCCACTGGAAGTCAGCATGCCCGTACCCAAAAGTGGAGAAGTACGGAGAAAGAGAAAGGAACGAGAAGAAAAAGAAGGCAATGGTTGCTGCTGAAAGTGACGAGTCATCCAGCTCAAGCTCAGATGAAGAAGCCCTCGTCTGCATGGAGCGCAGAGTTGAAAAGTCCAACCATGAGGATAGGTGGACTATGTCAGAAGATGACACTCTCTGCCTAATGGCCAAAGATGATGCTGATCAAGAGGTAACTTCACAAACCTCTTGCTCATCTTCTTATGAAAGCATACCAACTTCTGAAAATCTTTTTGACCAGTTCAAAAAGATGATGGAAGACTTTGAGGTAATAAATCTCAAACATTCATCCTTAACAGAGGAGAACAAACTATTGAGTGAAGAGAATCTCAAGTTGACTGAAGGTCGGAAAAGTCAACTGAATGAGATCACTCAACTCAAGACTGAAAATGAATCTCTCTCTGAAAAGGTGAAATCCCTTAACAAAGAGCTTGGGATACTTAAGTCCAAAGAAGCAGTGGATAAGCTTCTTGAAACGACCAACCATAAGGGTCGTTCGTACAGGACTTGGGTTTGACCCCTCTAGTTCCAAAAGGAAAGGGAGAACAACTTTCATCCCTCCTAAACCTACTGCCTAACCAAATAAGCAGAAAGGAAAAGAAAAGGAGAAACCAACAGAAGTTCCCAAAAAGGTAGTCCCTCCTCAGAACTATAGGAAGCTGGACAGACCTCAAAAAGGAAATAATTTCAGAAGAAAACCTTCTAACCCCCATTATACACGAGGCTATACTCATTATGGGGTAGATAGGAG